CTTGGAGTTCTAATTATAAAATTATTTTTCTTAATGACAGTAATTAATCTCCAAGGAAGATTCAATAAGTAACTAAGCTTCAGTTGCCAAAACTGGAAACGGCAATGGCTTTTTTACTTCTCAGAAACCCGGTTTTTGCCTCTGTGGGCAACTGCACACATGTGGCAGACACTCACACAGGAACACACATACACATAATTAACGTATAGTTTCTGAGGCTAGAGAAATGGTCCAGCAGTTGAGAGCGCTCACGGCTCTTCCAGAAGACCCTCAATGGTGGATCACAACCATCTGTGACTCCAGTTTCAAGAGACATAAGGCTCTCTTCTGGCCTCTGCAGCACCAAGCATACTGCACACACATATATGAAACCAAAGCGCCTATATACACAAAAACTTCTAAGTGCTTTTTAAAAGAAATGAGATGTTCAGGTAAAAATAACCTTCAAGGAAATGATCAGAATAAACAAAGAATACTAAGTACTTTCTGCTATGTCCTAGAATGTAGCCTTACTATGTAGAGTGATGCAGTGTTCTCTTTATAAATCCTAAAAGAGGCTCTATTTTTCAAGGATGTTTGTTTGAAAATGTGATCATATAATGGTATGTAGTAAGGGAAAGTTTTCTGGGTTCTAGTATTACTTTAAAAATTAAAAGCAGTGCCTAAAATATTCTGATACTTTTCTTTTCTGAGACAGGGTTTCTCTGTGGATCAGCCCTGGTTTTAGAGCTTTTGGAGCCTGTCCTGGAACTCTCTCTGTAGAACAGGATGGCCTCGAACTCAGAGATCTGCCTGCCTCTGCCTCTTGAGTGCTGGGATTAAAGAAGCATGGCACCACCGCATGGTCTGATGCCTCATTTATGAGGTGTAGAGACAAGGAACTAAAAGTAGTGTTTTGTACTTAAGAATGAATATAAATGAGGGGCCAATAATTTCTGTTTTGATCTGCACTTGCTCTTCTAATTATACAGTCTTTGTCTTCTTAGCAGGAAGCAGTACCCAGCTTTCAATAGACATACCTTCATTATATAGGGGACGTTTTTAAATTTTATTTTGTGTGTATGGAGGTTTTGCCTGCATAAATGTCTGTGTACCACATGTGTATAGAAGAGGGGCATCAACTTAATTTCTTAAAATATTTTTTATGGACCCAGGTGGTGGTGGTGCACGCCTTTAATCCCAGCACTTGGGAGGCAGAGGCAGGCAGATCTCTGTGAGTTCGAGGCCAGCCTGGTCTACAAGAGCTAGTTCCAGGACAGGCTCCAAAGCTACAGAGAAACCCTGTCTGGGGGGAAAAAAAAAAAAAAAAAAAAAACACCAAAATTCCTTTCAAGATATTTCATAATTTATATATTTGTACAAACTCTTTGTTTGTGTATTCAGCATTTACTGCATTCTCACTATATGCCCAACAATATAATGGTTCATAGGGACAAAAAGGCAATTTTTTAACTTAATTTAAAAATTTTTTATTTATATATGAGTATTCTGCATGCATATATGTCTGTGCACAATATACATGACTAGTGCCCTCAGATGTCAGCAGACAGCACCAGATGGGACTAGACTTACAGATGTTTTGAGCCACCATGTGGATGCCAAACCTCAAAACTGGGTCTTCTGGCCATTGAGCCATCTCTCCGGCCCAAAGGGGCACTTTTTAAGAAGAAACAAGTCTGGTGCAAGGCTCGGGGGGTGAAAACAGGAAGATTTTGGGTTTGTAGCTAGCCTGGGCTACACGGAGTTAGAGGCCAGTCTGGACTAACAAGGTGCTGGGGGGGGGGGGGGGGAGATAGCCTCTTTACAGTCCTTCAAACTGCAGTATGGTTATGTCAGTAAGATGCAATTATTATACGCCCAGATTTTTATTTTCGTTCTTATTTTATTAGTCTAGGTATTTTGCTTGAATGTTGTCTGTGCACCAGGTGCATGGCTGGTGCCCATGGAGACCAGGAAAGGGGAAGAAAAGAGAGGCCCTGGAACTGGAGTTACAGACAGTTGTGAGCGATCATGTGGGTACCGGGATCAAGCCTGAGTCCTCTGCAAGAGCGGCCAGTGTTCTTAACAACTGTGTCATCTCTCCAGCCCCCAGGATTTTTGTTTAGCACAATAATTATTTTCAAGATCATTATGTATTTTTCATAGTATTTATTGGTATGTTTACTTATTTACTAAGTTTTTTTGAAGCAGGATCTCATAAAACCCAGAGTGGTCATGAATTTGCTAAATAACTGAGGTTGGCCTTGAGCTTTGCCTCCTCCTATCTCCACTTCTCCAAGTGCTGGGATAATAGGTACTTACCACTTTTCCTGAGTTTAGAGCTGTTTGCTTCAACAGTTACATAGTATTTCATATGAAACAGATATTTTCCTCATCTGCTGTCTTATTTTTATCTATTTAGACTACTGAACCACATACTGTTGTCAGTGAGGTTTGATACTGAGACAATGTTAAAGCGTCCACTTATTCACTTGACCCACGTTGGCCCTTAGCACACTCTATGTTGAGTGCATGTGTGGACACACATGTAGGTACCTGTGTGCATACAGTGTGTGTGCACTTATGCGTGTGCACAGGAAGCCTGATGTAATTCCTGATGTTTTCTGAGAGAAGGCCTCTCTCACTAGGACCTAGGCTTGCTGGACAGCGAGCTCCATTCTCTGCCTGTCTGTCTCCCCAGAGCTGAGATTGCAAGCCCATGCCAATGTGACCGGCTTTTTCTTTTTTTATGAGTTCTGGGGACAGAACATTTTTGCCGTTAATTATGGGACAGTCTAGTCATTATAGCAGTTCAATTACTGCTTAGCTGAAAAGTCCTTTTAGCATTTCAAAATTAGAGCTGGAAAGATGGCTTGATGGGTTAAAGCATCTAATGCTCTTGCAGAGAATCCAAACTTTGGATCTCAACACCACACAGAGCAGCTTACAACCACTTGTAATGCTACCGTTTCCTTCTGGCTTCCTCTGACCCTTGCACTCACAGCCTCAAGCAGATTCTTAGGACAAGGGCAAAAAGCACCACATTCTTTGCCAAGATATCACAAAAATGGACTCTAGGCTAGTCACTACTATTATTCCCCTCTGAACCCTCTTGCGCTTGTCTGCCAAAGCCCACATCACTCTCAGCACTACTGTCTTCCCAGCTCCTAGTGTGAGCTTCCAATGACCTAGTATGGCCATTCAACCACTTACAGCATTAAACCACTCTCTTAATACAAAGTCTCATACATTCCCCCAAAAATACCTGTCACAGCAACATGCCATTCCCTGGTACCAACTTCTGCCTTTGCTAATTTTCTATTGCTGTAAAAATACTCACAACCAAGGTAACTCATAAAAAAACCAGTTCATTGGGGACCATCATGGTGGGGAGTATGGGGCAGGCAGGCATGGTGCTTAGCAGCAGCTGAGAGCTCACATCTGATCCACAAGCACAAGGCAGGGAGCTAACTGGGAATGGTGTGTCCACCCCACCAATGACACACTTCCTTCCCAAACAGTTCCACCATCTGGAAACCAAGCCCTCAAACATGTAAGCCTATGGAGTCATTCTCATTTAAACCACCACAGTAAGTATGTCACAGATGTAAGCATATTTTAAAATCCCTGTCTATATCAGTAAGCTGTATTGCAAGTCTCAATTACACAATCCTTTATTTTTCCTCTATAGTTACATGTATATCCTTTATAAAGGACATTGTTGTTAATGTTTATTTTGTTTGGTTGGCTTTTTTGTTTGTTTATTTGGGGTGTTGGTCTTTCATTTGAGACAGGGTCTCACCATGGAGCTCTGGCTGGTCTAGAACATGCTACGTAGACCAATTTGGCCTCAAACTCACATAGATTGACCTGCCTCTTGCCTACCAGTGCTTGGACTAAAGGTGTGTGCCACAATGCTGGTTGTTGTCTGTTTCTTGAGTTACAATTTCTCTATATTTCTCACACTAGACTTTACTATATGACCTCAAGTGGCCCTTCTTCCTTAGCCTCCAGAATAAGTTGGACAACGGGCACACGCCTCCAAACTATAGCTATAGTTTCCTTTTTCTTTTATTTTTTTGTTATTGTTTTATTTTTCAGACAATATCTCATTGTATAGACCTGGCTAGCCTAGAACTTGCTATGTAAACCAGGTTGGTGTCAAACTCACAGAGAGCCACCTGCTTCTGCCTCCAATGTCATTGGGGGTGGTGCTGGGTAAGATTAAGGACATGCACTGATGGAGGAAGGTCATTGGCCAATAAAGAAACTGCTTGGCCCTGTGGGTGGAGTAAACAGAACAAAATGCTGGGAGGAAGAGGAAGTGAGGTCAGAGTCTCGACATCTCTCCTCTCAGGAGCAGACGCCTGAGAGAGACGCCATGCTCCCAGCTCCCAAACAGACGCACGCGATGAAGCTCCAACCCAGGATGGACTAGGCTAGAATCTTCCCGGTAAAACCGGTTCTTACAGATTATTAGAGATGGGTTGATCGGGATGTGAGAATTAGCCTGTAAGTGCTAGAGCTAAAGGGCCAAGCAGTGCTTAAAAGAATACAGTGTCTGTGTAATTATTTTGGGGCATAAGCTAGCCGAGCAGGCGGCCGGGGTGCTGGGAACGCAGCCCCGCCGCCGCTCTTATTACTACAATGCACCACCACAACTACTTGTAGTTTTCTTGATATCACTAATTCCCTTCCTTAAGGTTTTGGTTTTTTGTTTGTTGAGAGACATCCTGTTATGTGGTCCAGACTAGCCAAGAATTGACCAGGTAGCTCAGGCTGGCTTGCAATCCTCCTGCCTCAGTCTCTGGAGTTCTGGGACTACAAGCACACACCACCATTTCCTGAGACTTAGTTGTTGTATACTGATGCTTTGCTGGTGCTTGTAAATCTCTCTTGGGGCTTTAGATAAAATTTTTACAATGCTAGAACTCTCCCTTTCACTTCCACTAATCTTGAATGTTTATCTGTTTTATATTTTCATAGAGCAAGGAATTATAAAGAAGTACTGAAATACTTACTGAGTGGTGTTGTATCAGGAGGTGGAAAATTCTCAGTAAAGTTGACATTACATAGATCTGTACTACAGCAGCAAAAGCGGTATGTCCCATTCTGAATAGAGGGTGGGGTGGTAGTTACAACACATTCTTCATAGTGACACTCTTGGGGATCCCCAATGTGAGACCAACACCCTACAAAACAATATTAAATAATATTAAAATAAGCTGGGAAACAAAACAGTAAGTAAAACCGCAAACTATGAAATAATTGCAGTAATATAAAACTAAGTAATATATAAGTCATAAAACAACCTGAAAAAATGGTAAAGAATACAACAGACATTTCATGAGGGAAAAGCAACCAACAACATGGTTATGATTAACTTCACTATTATAATAAGAATTATTTCCAAAACTGCCATCAAACTATTTTAGTTTAAGTTGTCCTAATTTTTAAAATAACAATATGCAATCATAACCAAGTGTTAGTGACAGTTGCTCTCATACAATTCTATAATAAATGCATGTATGATGGAAATTTTGGAAAAATCCATAGCAATTTTGATGTAGAAACTTTAAAGTAATCATACATGTTATGATCTACTAATTCTACATCAAAGAATCTACTTTAAAAAAATCAGACACAACCTTTATATATGTTTAGAGTTTTTCACTGCAGGATAACGCATTTCAGTGAAAACCTTGAAACAGCATCTTATCCAAAGCACGTGAGTAAACTGTGAAACATCTACATAGGAAATACGGTGCTGAGGGACAATGTTTTCAGAAATTATTTACAATAACGTGGGGGGAATAGCATGGAATTACTATATAGCATTATCCTATATACAGATATATATGCATTGTTTACATTCTTATTCACCACGTTCTGGGGAGGGTTTTCATCTACCCACACATCTTTGCTAGACAAGCTCCAACTGTAGGAAAAACAATGCTGAAGATACGGCCCTGTGGGCAAAGATCTGTCTCTGTGCATGGCATCCTGTGTTTGACTCTCTGCACCAAAAAGACAGAGAGAGAGAGAGAGAAAGAGAGAGAGAGAGAGAGAGAGACTTGCCTTGTTTCACAAGATTGATGTCCCCTTTGGATTTCTCCCACAGGCCATAGCACGTGCTCCCTTTGGAGCACAATATTGTCCCGTTTTCATGAGAGATTCTGCTCTCACCTATCCCAAGGTCTTGTTGATAGGGATCTTTAAATGCACACAGCCGTTCTTGATTCTGGGAAGCTAAAAAAAAACAGGAAATAACACAATGATAAACTGATGCTACTTTGATAATACGATTGACTATGAGAATCTGTAAGATTTCTTTATTAATATACAACACAATTTTTAAAAAATTATAAATTTTCCTACTAAATCCTTCAAATTTCATTGCTGAATAAATTTATACCCAATAATTTCCTTTTTCAAGATTTATTTTTATTATTGCGTGAATGTGTGTGTGCGCAGGGGCCCCGGAGAGGCCAGGGAAGGTGGATGGTCCGGTGACTGGGGCTACAGGTGACTGTGAGCTGCCTGACACAGTTGCTGGTAACTGAACTCGTGTCCTCTGTAAGAGCAGTGACATGCTTTCAACTCCTGTTGTCTCTATCCACAGCATCGGGCAATTTCCTTTTGCACGTTAATTTTTACATCCATGCAAGAACTTCTCTAAAATGTTTCCTGAAAAGAGACTTCTTTTACTCATGTAACTCTTATTACTATTTCTACTATTAAGTATTTTTGCTGTTCAAAAAAAGAAAGACCTTGTTCAATGGGCTTGGTATTGTACACATTTAGTCCCAGGACTGAGGTGGCAGAGGCAGGCAGATCTCTGAGAGCCCTAGGCTAGCCTGGTCTCATAGTGACTTTCAGGACAGCCAGAGCTACAAAATGAGACCCAACCTCAAAAAAAGAAATACCATGTTCTAAATCAACCTTTAAAACAAAGAGGTAGCCGGGCGGTGGTGGCGCACGCCTTTAATCCCAGCACTCGGGAGGCAGAGGCAGGCGGATCTCTGGGAGTTCGAGGCCAGCCTGGTCTACAAGAGCTAGTTCCAGGACAGGAACCAAAAAGCTGCAGAGAAACCCTGTCTCGAAAATCAAAAAAAAAAAAAAAAAAAAAAAAAAAAGCAAAGAGGTAGTAGGCTGGGTATGGTGGTGCAAACCTTTAATCCCAGCACTTGACAGGCAGAGACAAGGTGGATCTCTGAGTTCAAAAGCAGCCTAGTCTGCATAGCTAGTTCCAGGCCAGCCAGGGCTACATAGAGACCTTGCCTTAAACAAACAAACCCTAAGAGCATAAGAATTCTAGCAAATATTACAGTATTCAATTCTATCATTTTACAGTCATTTGTATAAAGCCACATTATTAGTCATGATAGGCTGAGGTGTGAGAATAATGAAAAATGGATATATGGTTTCTTTTCAGGGTGACGTATGTGTGTTTTAAAATTATGCTGTGGTAATGGCTACATAAATATCACATTAACAGAAAGAAATCATGGAATACTTTACCTCAGATCAATGAATTTCATGATATACAGATCATGTCTGAGTAAACATACATGTAATATATGTATTTTTTATTATTATGTATAATTTATTTATTTATTATGTATACAATATTCTGTCTGTATGCCTGAAGGCCAGAAGAGGGCGCCAGACCTCCTTACAGATGGTTGTGAGCCACCATGTGGTTGCTGGGAATTGAACTCAGGACCTTTGGAAGAGCAGGCAATGCTCTTAACCACTGAGCCATCTCTCCAGCCCCCTAAAGGGACAGGGACAGTCTTACTTTTTAGGCCTGACTGGCCTAGAACTTTCTCTGTAGACCAGTCCGGCCTCAAATTTACAGAGATCCACCTGCTCTGCCCTTGAGTGCTGGGATTAAAGATGTGCACTACCACTCTTGCAAAATAGGTTTTTAAAACTGAGAGTACTTCTGAGCAAAAAGAAAATGGTTTTGCATTACTTAAAACAGCCAGATGAAGAAATGTTCAATGGCTCCTCATATTTAAGGGACAATCTAATGCAATTTAATGGCAAACTCTCTTCATATATATCCATGTGATTTAACTGATTCCAATAGAGCATTTGCCATGTAACTCAGTGATTAACAAACATTAGCCAGCATTGTAAAAATATCAAAAAAGTAAAAGGTTATCAAAAAGCAACATCTGATCTTTAATTTCTTAAGACAGACTTTCCTAATGTTTGAGTAGCAAGGATAATCACTAGGAATACCAACAGTTTCTTAGGACTTTCTGCACCCATTTTGCATTTGAGGTGTACAGAATTGAACAGGACAATTCAGAAGCATTTTAGCAAAGTATATTACTTATCAAAATAATGTATTTTTTGTTATTTTTTGCTTTTTGTGCTTCTTTAAGCTAGGGTTTCTCTGTGTTGCTTTGGAGCCTGTCTTGGAACTAGCTCTTGTAGACCAAGTGGCCTCAAACTCACAGAGATCCTCCTGTCTCTGCCTCCTGAGTGCTGGGATTAAAGGCGTGCGCCACCACCACCTGGTCAAAATAGTGTTTCTGAACGTAACAAAGAAGTCTAGAAAAGGAATGACAGGGCTTAACATCTGTGTGTCCAGCCAATTCACACAAACAGACCTGTCAAAATTATTGGTATGCAAAGTACTTTCCAATTACTGGGCCAAGTAACAGACTAGATAAGGAAAGCTGCAGTTACCAAATCTTTGGTTATATAATTTATTCAGACAAACCAAACCAGACAGCAATTAATGGAAAAGAAATGTGGCTTGATGTATATACTTTTAAACTACGTTTCAACCTTCTAGAAGACAGACACACTAATATCTAAAGAGCACAATATATGTGTAGTGCTACCGATTAGAGAAACAGGTATGCCAGGAGATGGTGGCACACACCTTTAATCCCAGCACTTGGGAGGTAGAGAGTTGTTTGAAGACAGCCTGGTTTAAAGAGCGAGTTCCAGGACAGACTCCAAAGCTACAGAGAAACTCTGTCTCAATAAACCAAAAGGACAGACAGACAACTGGGATAGAAGGCAGCCTCACTGGCAGGGTGGCAACTGCTCCCTTCAGATTAACACAGCATTTCAAGAGGAAACAGCACCAGGAAGTAAGGGCTCTGCTCAGAACACGAAAATGCAGACTCCAAATCAGCCCTTCACATCTTTCGTGAAAGACCAGTGCACTACAGAAGGGAAGCCCGTTATCAGAGTCTGGTAAAAGCTGAGAAAAGTAAAGCAAATTTGCAGACGAAACAGGGTTTCTAGGGCGTCTGGAAGCCCGGGAAAGAATGCAGTGAGAGCTGCACTGGAGTAAATAAGAGATGGTTGTTTACATGAACGGTATTCTGTTCTGGGGTGGGGTAACTAGGACTGGGGCTCAACACCATTCTAGCAGCGGGAAATGACACTTCAACCTGAACAATCTAATCGCTTCTTGAACACTGCAAGCAGTTCCCCTGAAAGAACAAGGATGAGAAAAAACAATGAGAAAATTCCAACCAGTGACCTAACCCTAGATGTTCAAGTCCTGATGCAAAAAAACACAATAAACACGGAAATAAAGGCAAAGTGAGTCCTCCAAAAAGTAGCAACTCCACAGCAATGGTTTCTAAAATGTCTCAAACTATTCCACAGAACAGAAATGGGAGGAATAGTACCAACCTCTTCTTATAAAGACATAACGAATAAGGAAAAATTACTGACCAATTCCCCTGCTTAACACAGATGCAAAAGTTCTCAAAAAAAAAAAAAATACCAGCAAAAAGAATTGAAGAACACACCAAAAAGCTCATTCACCACGATAGAGAGGGAGGGATGACTCAACATACGTAAGTCAATACATGTAACAATCACATCAATGGCCTCAAGGAGAGAGATCATTTTCATCCCAACAGATGTATGTATTTTGACAAAATCCTTTCACAAAAGCCCTGAATAGACTTACATATGACAAAAATATAGCCAATATTAATTGTACTAAATAGTAAAACCTGAAAGCATTTCCACTAAAATCAAGAACAACACAAGGGCATTCACTTTTTGATGTGTGTGTGTGTGTGTGTGTGTGTGTCCTAAGGATCAAATTCAGGTCATACAAGTACATACACCTGTTGAGCCATCTTGCAGGAAGGAATGTCCCTTTCTCCACTTTTTTCCTGAGACAGGATCTCACTGTGTAGACCTGGCTGGCAAGGAACTCTACTGATCCCTGCCTTCCCAGTGCTGGGATTAAAAGCATGTGCCACCACACCTAGCTCACTTTTTCCATTCTTACTCAACATACTGATGGATGTCTTAGCTGGAGTGATGAGTCAAGAGAAGGAACGAGGGGCTGGAGAGATGGCTCAGAGGTTAAGAGCACCAACTGTTCTTCCAAAGGTCCTGAGTTCAATTCCCAGCAACCGCATGGTGGCTCACAGCCATCTGTAATGAGGTCTGGTGCCCTCTTCTGGACTGCAGGCATACAGACAGACAGAACACTGTCTTTATAATAAATAAATAAATAAATAAATAAATAAATAAATCTTTTTTAAAGAAGAGAGAGAAGGAACAAGGATACAAAAAGGAAAAGGTCAAACTATCCTATTGCAGATAACAGTCTACAGTTCTTAGATACATGGAAAAAATGTTAACCTCCCCCAGCCATTAGAGAAATGCAAATTAAAACTACACTGAGGTTGAGTGGTGGTGGTGCAGCTTTAATCCCAGCACTGGGGAGGCAGAGGCAGGCGGATCTCTGTGAGTTTGAGGCCAGCCTGGTCTACAGAGTGAGTTCTAGGACAGCTAGAGCTACACAGAGAAACCGTGTCTTGAAAGACAAAAAAAAAATCTAAATATTGCTCCATCTTTCATGATATATAGTTTTTTATGATTTTATACTGAATACAGATAAATAACAATACATGTTTGTTAGTTATCCATTAAAATATGGATAACTGACAAATAACTACAAGTAGACAAAAGGAGAAATGTAGGGTGAGCTGCCTGGTGGTAACTGACAAATGCTGAATGAATACGCGTCCAATCATAAACTATCAACTATCAAGTCAAAGAATAGAGTTTGCTCAATCCACGAGGAAGACTTAAACTAAGGGGGAAAGGAGGACTCCAACAGAGACAAAACAACCGTGGGTTTATCAGCAGGCCATCTTATTTAATCTAACACTTTGAGAAGAGGCTGTATTTTTTCTGTCTACAAAGTATGATATCTATAAATCTGAAATTCAAGAAATTATACATAA